TTTTTATGTTTGAAATAGGGGTTTGAGAGTTTTCTCTCCCATTTTCGGCATCGATTTTTAGATTTTTTACACCCACAATGGTTCCTTACTCTCTTAAGCCTTCTTCTATATTATTGTGGGTGTACCTCCTTCTTAACTCTAGCTTCTGGTGGTGTCCGAAGTACGGTGGCGGTGATGGTAAAGTTGGGCAGCTCATGAGCCTTCTCTTATACCATTGTGGGTGTACCTCCTTCTCAACTCTAGCTTTTGACAATGTCTGAAGTACGGTAGCAGCAATGGTGAAGTTGGGCAGCGGCGACGGGGACGACGGACTTTCAAGCAGATCTTGCTTGGTTTGATGCAAATCTTGCTTTCTAGACCACATCTTTAAAAAGATCAGTAAATTTTTCCTGAATCATAACTGGTTTTTTTGACAAATTTGTTATTTTTTTTATTTTTTTCTTTTGTTGTATGGCTTGTATGACGCTTTGGGGGTCTTGTTCTGTATGTTTTTTTTTTTTAATATAAATATTTTTCATGTTCTCAACAAAAAAAAGAAAAAAAGAAAAAGCAACATAAAAACAATGTACTTGTTTACCAACAATCTGATTAAATAGGTATCCACAAACCTTCAAAGTACAACCCTCAAAGATTCAGAGCCTAGACATTAAGATTATTGCAAGAGTACTCAAAGAGAAAGTGATTCTTGGGAATTTTCATTGAACAGGTGTTGTGCTTCAGAAAAACAGGTGGGTTCGACCCCCACAGGAGGTTTGGGATTGAGAGCAACATGTCACATCCCGCTAGATTTAAGAAGGCGCAAGTCAAGGAAAAAATTTGGTACTTCGAAAAAGAAGGGGGGATGAGCGCTTTGCGAGCATAATTGAGAAAATGTCACGTCCAACCAAATTACCTAGACAAAATTGCTTACCAAAAGGAAGTCTCAAGGAAGAGAGGCTAATGAAATATTTCAGAAGCTCTAGGAAGACTTGAGAAAATGTAGAAATATAGTACATAATTCTATAATGTACATGGAATGATCTAGAATAGGTTTTATAGCAATTAAGTGAAGATTGGAAGAATGGAAGCAATAGAAACTTTTAGAGAAATGGAGGTGGTAAAAGATCCTTGCACCTACTATAATAAGGTAAATGTTTGTATAGATATTTTTAAGGAGGATTCTAGAACCCTCTTGTAGGATAAGGAAAACTTCCATGAGAAACCTCTCCATAGTCCTTTTCTTGTATGCTCTGGAATATTCTAGAGAAGGCCTAAGATGCTTACAAATAGGAGAAGAGCTCATTTGCTCCATCAAGGATTCAAGAGTTGTAAAATTCTCTCAAAGGAATACAAGAGGCATTCTCTCAAACTCTCATTGTCTTCTTACTTGTCTTTCTTGCTAGTTTGTATCAAGTGAGGCTTGAGATTGTCTAAGTGCCGTACGGATAGCTTAGAAACAACCAAGTCCTTGACAAATAACTCGAGATTGATTGGAAGTTTTGGTGTGGAATGAAATTTGAAATTGTCAGAAATACTTGAGAATTTGGTGAATTTTATTTAGTGACACATTTCTAACAGGTTCAAAAACCATATTACACAGGAAATAATTTCAAAAATTTGATTGAGGAAGGTTTATGGAAGAGGAGAGGCCAGGAGGGATCCTCCAACTGCGAAGCCATTGAAATCTTCTTAGCACCTCCTTCCTATGACCCAATCAAATTATGCATCTATCCTTATGGACCCAAACAAAAGGGCACGTGAATCTATATTCTTAAAAGTCAATAAAATGGATCTATATATTCTTAAAAGTCAATAAAATGGATCTATCACCTGCGTACATCTTATTTTATCACATTTGCCTTAAAAAAAAATGAATATAATTTTAAAAATAGATCATCCAATTTATTGAAGACAAACACAACAAAATTATGAAGGTTACAATTATTGAATCAAGCTAGTTTTTTTTTTTTTTTTTTAATGAATGATATACACGAAAGACCCTACAAAATAAACAACCCACACAATTATTGTCAATTGTGGCCAATGCTAAAGATATAAAAGCACAGTTCAAAACTTCAATCCTAACTTCTATATATAGAACTGAATTGATTGTTTCTTATTCCCCATTCCACATCCATTGTTAGCAAACAATAATATATAGTATGTATGTGTGCCAGAAATCTCAATTCTATAAAAAAAATACTACCAAACCTCAATAAATGTCTCCATTTAAATTTAAACCAATCTTCCTCGTCTGTCTCATAAGCAAAAGCTGGACAATGATATAGTCGTAAAGAGTGACACAAAAATGCTGAATAGCACTCTCTGCTAATCTGGAAGAGGATATAGTACACTTCTATGCCCTGAGAAAAGCAGTCAAAACCACTAATCAGCAATATCAAGCACAATTAAAGACGAATCCCTACCCCAATAATAATAACAATAATAATTAATATGGGCAAATTACAAAACACACCCTCTAAAATTTGTTTAAAATACGGATTGTTCCCAGTGATTCTGTAAATTACATCTCACCCCATGAGATTTCTAATTTCATAAAAAATAACTCATTTTATTAATAAATCATCAAGTTAATTAATAAATTTTAATGATATAAAAATTTATTTCAACTAATAATTCAGGTAATTTTATTATTGTATAGGAGAACAGTTAGAAATTTCATTTTTTTAGCTAGTTCTGGTAAATAAAAAATTATGACATGGGGTGTTTGTAATTTTCCAAATCACAATGAGTAATCCGTATTTTAAGCAAATCTCAAAGGATGCATTTGTAATTTACTCTATAAATCTTAAAAAAAAATAAAAAATAAAAAAAATAGTACATATGTTTGGGAAGTTTGAAACTTGAGTTTTTTTTTTAATTTTTTTCACAAAAAGACAAATTTTTTGCAAAATAAAAAAAAACACATCCAAACAAAATATCACATCCAACCCCATAATCATTTTACTTTTTCTCTCACAAACATCACATCCAACCACAAAAAAGCCCAACTATCTTCCCAAACACCAAAATTTTTTTATCTAATAATATCTTACAACTAAAAAAATCTACATAAAAACCCACTTCCCAAACACCCACATACATGACTTGGGTATGTGAAAAAACACTAGTGTAGAAGAAAGCCAATAAATAATTTGTTTATACATCCAAAACCCATCAATAATTTGTCTATATAGCCAAAGCCCATGAATTTCCTCATACTCGTCAATTCACACACAATATTTGATTCATTCAATGCACATTAATTAATACTTTTGAGAAGGAATAAAGTACACTATTCAAATGCATATTAATTATGTCAAAGGTAAGTTTGGAGTTAGGAAGGCCATGGTCCTTGAAAACGCCCACTCCCCATGTACACACCAGTATAAATGTGTATATGCATATCTATGTGTGCAAATACATGAGCACACATGCACACAACCCATCGCTCTTCATTCATTCACTCTTCCCTTAGAGGTTTGTGATCCCTATCTGTTAGAATCTACCATCACCTACCACACACTTACCATCACCTACCACACACTCACCTACTACACTCACCTACCACCACCAAAAAAAAAGAAAAAAAGAAAAAAAAACATAAAAACAATGTACTTGTTTACCAACAATCTGATTAAATAGGCATCCACAAACCTTCAAAGTACAACCCACAGAGATTCAGAGCCTAGACATTAAGATTATTGCAAGAGTACTCAAAGAGAAAGTGGTTCTTGGGGAATTTTCATTAAACAGGTGGTGTGCTTCAGAAAAACAGGTGGGTTCGACCCCACAGGAGGTTTGGGATTGAGAGCAGCATGTCACATCCCGCCAGATTTAAGAAGGCGCAAGTCAAGGAAAAAATTTGCGACTTCGAAAAAGAAGGCGCGATGAGGGCTTTGCGAGCATAATTGAGAAAATGTCACGTCCAACCAAATTACCTAGACAAAACTGCTTACCAAAAGGAAGTCTCAAGGAAGAGAGGCTAATGGAATATTCTAGAAGCTCTAGGAAGACTTGAGAAAATGTAGAAACATAGTACATAATTCTATAATGTACATGGAATGATCTAGAATAGGTTTTATAGCAATTAAGTGAAGATTGGAAGAATGGGCAATAGAAACTTCTAGAGAAATAGAGGTGGTAAAAGATCCTTGCACCTACTAGAATAAGGTAAATGTTTGTATAGATATTTTTAAGGAGGATTCTAGAGCCCTCTTGTAGGATAAGGAAAGCTTCCATGAGAAACCTCTCCATAGTCCTTTTTTTGTATGCTCTGGAATATTCTAGAGAAGGCTTAAGATGCTTACAAATAGGAGAAGGGCTCATTTGCTCCATCAAAGATTCAAGAGTTGTAAAATTCTCTCAAAAGAATACAAGAGGCATTCTCTTAAACTCTCATTGTCTTCTTATTTGTCTTTCTTGTTAGTTTGTATCAAGTGAGGCTTGAGATTGTCTAAATGCCGCACGGATAGCTTGGAAACAACCAAGTCCTTGACAAATAACTCGAGATTGATTGAAAGTTTTGGTGTGGAATGAAATTTGAAATTGTCAGAAATACTTGAGAATTTGGTGAATTTTATTTAATGACACATTTCTAACAGGTTCAAAAACCATATTACACAGGAAATAATTTCAAAAATTGATTGAGGAAGGATTATGGAAAAGAGGAAAGGCCAGGAGGGATCCTCCAACTGCGAAGCCATTGAAATCTTCTTAGCACCTCCCTCTTATGACCCAATCAAATTATGCATCTGTCCTTATGGACCCAAACAAAAGGGCACGTGAATCTATATTCTTAAAAGTCAATAAAATGGATCTATAACCTGAGTACATCTTATTTTATCACATTTGCCTTTAAAAAAAAAATAAATATAATTTTAAAAATAGATCATCCAATTTATTGAAGACAAACACAACAAAATTATGAAGATTACAATTATTGAATCAAGCTAGTTTTTTTTTTTATTATTTTTTTTTACTTTTTTATTTTTTTTAATCAATGCTAAAGATATAAAAGCACAGTTCAAAACTTCAATCCTAACCTCTATATATAGAACTGAATTGATTGTTTCTTATTCCCCATTCCACATCCATTGTTAGCAAACAATAATATATAGTATGTATGTGTGCCAGAAATCTCAATTCTATAAAAAAAATACTACCAAACCTCAATAAATGTCTCCATTTAAATTTAAACCAATCTTCCTCGTCTGTCTCATAAGCAAAAGCTGGACAATGATATAGTCGTAAAGAGTGACACAAAAATGCTGAATAGCACTCTCTGCTAATCTGGAAGAGGATATAGTACACTTCTATGCCCTGAGAAAAGCAGTCAAAACCACTAATCAGCAATATCAAGCACAATTAAAGACGAATCCCTACCCCAATAATAATAACAATAATAATTAATATGGGCAAATTACAAAACACACCCTCTAAAATTTGTTTAAAATACGGATTGTGCCCAGTGGTTCTGTAAATTACATCTCACTCCATGAGATTTCTAATTTCATAAAAAATAACTCATTTTATTAATAAATCATCAAGTTAATTAACAAATTTTAATGATATAAAAATTTATTTCAATTAATAATTCAACTAATTTTATTATTGTATAGGAGAGCAGTTAGAAATTTCATTTTTTTAGCTAGTTCTGGTAAATAAAAAATTATGACATGGGGTGTTTGTAATTTTCCAAATCACAATGAGTAATCCGTATTTTAAGCAAATCTCAAAGGATGCATTTGTAATTTACTCTATAAATCTTAAAAAAAAATAAAAAATAAAAAAAATAGTACATATGTTTGGGAAGTTTGAAACTTGAGTTTTTTTTTTATTTTTTTCACAAAAAAACAAACTTTTGCAAAACCAAAAAAAACACATCCAAACAAAATATCACATCTAACCCCATAATCATTCCACTTTTTCTCTCACAAACATCACATCCAACCACAAAAAAACCCAACTATCTTCCCAAACACCAAAATTTTTTTATCCAATAATATATTACAACTAAAAAAACCTACATAAAAACCCACTTCCCAAACACCCACATACATGACTTGGGTATGTGAAAAAACACTAGTGTAGAAGAAAGCCAATAAATAATTTGTTTATACATCCAAAACCCATCAATAATTTGTCTATATATCCAAAGCCCATGAATTTCCTCATACTCGTCAATTCACACACAATATTTGATTCATTCAATGCACATTAATTAATACTTTTGAGAAGGAATCAAGTACACTATTCAAATGCATATTAATTATGTCAAAGGTAAGTTTGGAGTTAGGAAGGCCATGGTCCTTGAAAACGCCCACTCCCCATCTACACACCAGCATAAATGTGTATATGCATATCTATGTGTGCAAATACATGAGCACACATGCACACGACCCATCGCTCTTCATTCATTCACTCTTCCCTTAGAGGTTTGTGTTCCCTATCTTTCAACGTCTTCTACACAACATGAAAAGAAAAGAAAAGAAAAGAAAAGAGGTGACCCATGAATGAGACTCACGCTAAACGGGATTTGGGGAAAACAAGATGTATGTAGCCTTATCCTCATTATTGGAGAGGTGGTTTTTGTTACTCGTACCTCTGCCACCAAGATACTAACGAAAAGTTTTACCATCGGGCCAACTTTCCCTTTTTCACAAAACATTGAATTCTTATAAAAGAAATAGAAAAAGAAAAATAATAAAAAATAAATAAAAATCTACCCACTAGAAAGGTAATTTAATTGAAAATTTCACATACCAAACCTCATCTCATCATATAGGGAAATGCTACCATACACACCCCAAAAGAGTGCATATGGTATCCATCCAAAGTTTCAGCCAAAATGTAGGACGGCGCAGTAAGGCCTTTAAAGCTGAATTTCAGTGGATTTTTATGGAGGTTTAAAGTTGAAAATCAGTGAGAATTTTACAGTTCTAATAATGAATGGAATGAACTAGGTTTATGATTGATAAAACGGACTATGAAAGTGCTGAAATTTAAGACAAGAAAGAAGATAATTCTAGGAATCACTCCTAGAATCCTTTAAGCATCACCTAGGGTTTGATTGCATCTCACAATCCATAACAAAGCTTAAAAGCTCTACAATTCTATAAAAATCAGATCATTCCTGAGTTAGAAGCAATACATAACTTCTTACCGAAATAAGAGACTGACTTAACCACATAGAACCTAAAAAGGAAACTACTAAAAACCAAGAAGGAAACTTCCGAAAGACTTTAACTTCTAAAACCTATCTAATACCAAATAAAACCCATAACATATTAAACCAATACCAAGACCCATGAGTCAGCACAACGACCCATTCTTGAGACCCAATCCAGAAATTCTACAAATTACAAAAATAACCTTGATCCTAAAATTGAACCAAAACTTCTATAAAATATAAATATAACTTAGAATGACTCTGAATCAGTGTGCAAATTCCCATGGGTTTTAGTCTTAAATGCTAGCCAAATTCCATAATTCTTTGCATCTGTGAATTTGCCTTTCCTTGAACATCTTATGGATCGCATCATTCTCCCTGGTTGGAAAAAATTCGACCTCAAGTCTTAAAATATTTAAGTATAAGAATCCATGAGCTTCAAATTTCAAACCGCAATTTAGTATGTAAGACTTCAACTTGATGCTGCTTTGCCTTCTTTGCTTGAGGCAACAAATTGCATAGCAATTGATTCTTCTTATCGGTTGTGTCATGGAAGTTGATTGGAATGACAAAATCTATTGATGTGGGCAGCACATCCTTGAATTGATCCAAATTTGAATTCATAAAGTCTTCTTTGATATTCCAGCAACAACCTCAATCCCATTCTTTTTAACCTCTTTTCCCAGCACAAGATCATCTTTTGATTCACTTTTGGCCTCTTCGCAGATTATAATTGAAGCAAATTCACTAGGTAACTTTGTGGCACTACATCTGAGGCCTCGGATTGTAATATCATGACCTCAAAAGATACAATAAGTTCTAGAGGAGCAACAAGCCGCCTTAATTCTTTAAATCCAGGAAGTCTTTGGCGTCAATCTCCCACAACTCGTTTTCGAGTGTCAAGTGCCTCAATCATTGCGTATATTCTTCAAAGAAAGTGTTGTTGTGTCTTGAATTAACAACTTGCTCATGCGACACTACAAGTTTATTTGAAGGCATATACTTCTCTTGAAGCTTAGCTTTCATCTCTTGCCACATGTTCATTGGTCGCAATTCCAATCTTCTTATATCTTCTTCAACGCGATACAAACAAAGTAGTGCCAAACGTGAAAGCTTTAACTTAGCAAATCTTGCTTTCTAATCATCCATCCAGTCATAACAATCAAAAAAATCCTCAACTAAAGCAAGCCAATTAGAGAACACCATAGGACCATCCATCCCTTCAAAATCTGAAACTTCTTTCTTATTAGGTATGACTCGCCCCTTGTAAGAACATAGTGGCAAAACCTTAAGTTCTGATACAAAAAATGATGTAGGACAGCGCTATGAAGACTTTAACGTTGAATTTTCATGGATATTTATGGTGGTTCAAAGTGGAAAATCAATGAGAATTTCAGGCTTTCAATTAATGAGTGTAATGAACTAGGTTTACAGTTGACAAAACGGGAGGAAAGAGATCAAAACAGGGGCTGTGAAACATAATTATATTTAATATATCATAGTAGAAAGATAAGTAATGTTCAGTTGTGTTAAATTGGAAGATGGCTAAACCACATTTAATCCTTCAACCATAATCCAACCAATTCGCCTATTAATGGATCTGCCAGGTAGAATTCATGTTTAGCCTATCTGATCAAAGACTTGCTACCAAATCTATGTTTTCAGTCAGATTCATATCCAAATTTAATTCATTGGAAGGAATACATGTCTACTCTCAAAAGCTACAACTTTTTCAGAAAACGAAACAACATTTGCAGCATTTACTATTACATCCAAGCTACGTAGCTTTAACTAATAATCACACATAACTACAGGCAAACTAATAAAATGAAGAATGAAATAAACAAGAAAGTATGCCAGTCTACAAATATGACAAAATGAGGCAGCAAAAATTCACCTGGTAATATATGAGTTGTCAGAAGTATTGACAACAATCTGATCACCAGCTAAGACATGTGCTGGTACCTACCAAAAAAAACAAAAAAACAGTAAATAGAAGGAACAAATACAAAACAAGTCAAATAAAAATAACAATATGTACAATTCTATAAATTCCCCAAATCATTGGGCTGCTTTTTTCTCGGAAGTCAAAAATGAAGAGAAGATTCTTTAGTGATAATTCTTTTTATGTGCATAACCTCGAGCCTTCACAAATCCGACATCTTGGTAACTCTATATCACATACATTACCTTGCCCAAGTAACTTTTTTTTTTTTTGAACAGTACCCAAGTAACTTAATCAGCCACCCTAGGGTGCCAAATCGTGCTCTAATCTGCAGATCAACGGATTTAGAGTGAATTCACCATGAATCTGCAGATTCACTGATGTCAATCCTTGGAACTCTTCTGGAAAAGGTTGTGAATTCAAAACAGATTTTAATTTGACAAATGATATGATGACATGTGCCTGTTTTCATAATAAGCATCACACACGATATCATGTCCAGTTGTGGTTCTGCTTGCACCGCACACACCAATTACTTCCAGCACCATGTACACACTGTCACGTCCCGCCAAGTTTGCCTAAACAAAGTCCATCCTAGAGGAGTTCTAAAGGAAGAGAGGCTAATTGAAGAATCTAGAACTTCCAAGAAGACTCAAGAGAATATGAGAGTATTGTACATAATTCTAGAAAGTGTACAGAATATTCTATAATAGAATCTAGAGAGTTCTTTTAAGGTTGTAGAGAGTTCCATGAAAGCTTCTACACACCTCATTTAATAATGTATTCTAGATTGTTTTTAAAAGGCCAAGGTTGCCTATAAAAGAAGTGAGTGCTCATTTCCCTCACATCCAACTTGAGTGTAAAATTCTCTCTCTCTCTCTCTCTCTCACTAAAAGGTTAAAGGCTAACTTAGCATCACTTCCCTAGCTTGTGAATGTCTAAGTGCCTTACGGAGCGCTTGGAAATAACCAGGGCCATGACAACACACTCCAATTCAAAACATTTTACAAAATTTTAATTCAAAGCATGTGGATTGAACAAGGAGCCTAGCTGATGTAGTAGAATAAATAGACTAATAAATAGACTAAGGCCTTGTTTGGTTTGTTTTTCAGAAAAATTTTTGGGAAAAATTTTCTACAAACAAATTTTTAAGAGTAATCAAACCAAACAAATTTTTTCAAAAAAAATCTCAAAATTTTCATTGGTTACCTATTTTCCAAAATCATTCTCTCTCTCTCATACACATCAAATCAATCACTTTTTTCAAAACTCTCTCCCCAAAACCATTTTTGAAAAAAGGCAAACTAAACAAGTTTTCGTACTTTTTATCTCAAAAATTACTCTACAAACACAAACCAAACACACCCTAAGTGTTTGTTAAATAGCTTCTTAGTGTAGTCTATAAATAGGTGATGTAATATCCATTGTACTTGGTTTTGGATTAAAGAATATACATTTTGATTGGAGTAGAACTTGGTTTCTCTCTCTAGCCCTTGGGGGTTTTACCCCTAATTGGGGCATTTGTCTTCTTTCTCTCAATTTGATCTTTGATGTGAATTTGGATTGCATTATTTGGTATTAGAGCATCAGATTTTGATCCTATTATCTCAGATTCTGATTGGTTCATCACCTAATTCACTACCAGGGAATTCACGTACCTGATTTAGGCCCTGGTTGTTTGTTGATTGAAAGTCGACTTCCAGATTCTAGGTTACTCTCAGATTCAAGATCGACTCTCCTTGATTCACGAAGCTTCCTCTTGATTCACAAAGTGTCTTCTCCTTGATTCAAGTTCGTTGGATGAAACTCTTTTTGAGTTCTGAAATTCTTTGCAAATGGACTTCTCATATTGGTCTGATTTCGATCTGAGTTCATGATTGCTATTGCGATGAAGATTGCGACCTGGAAGGTGATCTAACTCTTGATTCGAGTTCATGAGTCAAGTTTGTAGAACCATAGATTTCGAGTTCAACTTGCTCTTGCTATTTCAATTCATATCTAGATTTCAGTTCGAGATTGCGACCTTTGAGTCCAAAGGTTGCAGTTCGACTTTCCATCACGATTCGCGATTTGGGGTTTTGATTTCTTCGATCGACTTTGCAACCCACAATCTGACTAGCGTATGTGTTCAAAGCCTTAGTTTGAGTTCAGATTCTAGTTTGAAGCCTTTGTTTGAGTTCGTATTCCAGTTCAAAGCCCTTCATGTGTTCGAATCTATCAGGAAACCAGGGGATAACCATTGCAAATCTCTCTGAAGTTGAAGTTCGAATATCTCTGAAGTTGAAGTTGAAGTTGAAGACCTATCGTGACATGAAGATCCACCTTTGTGAACCCGGACTCGAAGTTGAAGACCCATCGCAAACTCAAAGTTGTTGTTGTTCATCGCGATTGCGACCTAGCTCCTAGATTCGAGTTTGTATTCGTTGGAGTTCTTGAATCCTCTTCTTGGGTCGAAGTTCACAGACTTCGAATTTGACCTAGTCTTGCGATTTCAGTTTGGCCTTGCGATCTGACTTGCAAATCGAGATTTGATCTGGTATGTTTGACTCAGGTTTCTTCTCAATTGGAACTATTCTAAATTAATTCTTAATGTGGCCATGTTAGTCTTGATTCTTGTTTTGGGATTGGATCTTGATTATTTACTACTTCTTACTGCTGTGAATTGATATTAAATTGAGTTGTCCTCAATTGTGAAATTGGGTCTGGAAATTGTGATCTCTATAATCTGCATATCTGAGCTGTTTGTGAGTCATGTTGGGTTGCTTTGTTATGGCTAATCGGGGTTGAGGTCATCGAGGTGGCCGTGGTAGAGCTTATGCTTCGAATTTTTGTGAAATTGATATGAATTCGTCAATTGGAAGGGGTATGATGCTAATCCAATTCAAACTCATAATCAAAGAGATAAGTTGAAGCAAATAAATGGACGACTTGTTGCATCACAAGCCGCCATTAAAATTTTTGAAAGGTTCAAAGAAATTATTTGAAGTTTATCATTAGGACTCTTTTATACCTCTTTACGAAGTTGTTTTGAGTTGAGTATGTTGTTTCTTGTGTGCTCAGTTCACATTTTGTGCCAAGGGAGGAAAGAAAGAAAGCGTGCAATGCTGAATTCCAGCTCGTGATAAGCTACCCTCATGGTTTTGCCTAGTGGATGCATCGTCCATCCTATCATTGTGTGAATCCTCTCAACTTTGCTTTGGAAGATGTCATTCGCAACCATTGGTCTCATTCCAATAGAATGAGTACTCTTCTGCACGAGTATGCAGGTTAGAGGTGAAGGATTTGGAAATGGGGTTTATCCGAGTTTTTAGCAAGTGGATATGGACACATCTATGGTTGTTGAACCAAGGATGCAAAAATGAAGTTCAATGTATTTGAAGTTGAGAGAATCATGTTTGTTATTGAGCAAGGAAATGCAGCACATATTCCTTACATATGGTTACATGAGTAGTGTTAAGTTGAGTTTACTTAGTTGCTACTTAAACTTGAGGACAAGTTTCTTAAAGAGGGAGAGTATGATGTAGTAGAATAAATAGACTAAGTTTTTGTTAAATAGCTTATTAGTGTATTCTATAAATAGGTGATGTAATACTCCTTGTACTTAGTTTTGGATTAAAGAATATACATTGTGATTGGAGTAGAACTTGGTTTCTCTCTTTAGCCCTTCGGGGTTTTACCCCTAATTGAGGCATTTGTCTTCTCTCTCTCAATTTGATCTTTGATTTGCATTTGGATTGCATTACCAGCTGTCCAGTTTGGTTGTTCCAAAAAATTAAGAAAACATAAATGAATTCATTCATGAATTAGATAATTAGATGTTTTTGGTTATACAAATGAGTTAACTAAAAATTGAACTAACTTTTTTATTTTCAGGGAACTTTAAATTGGTCATTTCTTTTTATTACATGGGATAACCTAATCTAAAATTAAGAGATTCAAAAATTGTCTTGTTTAGCACCTACAAAAAAACTTGAATTGGTTCATTCATGCATAGGTGAATTTTGAATTAGTTAATTTAAAACAGAATGGTTCCATTCAAGCAACCAAGCAGTCTACTAAATTTTAACCAACAAAGTTACCACACTAATGCGTAAGGCTGTAACACTTGACTTATTGATTAATTTTTTCTGTTTTAATTAAATCAACTAGATTAGGATATATAGATGTAACATTTTTTTCCTACTTAGTGAAAGACATGTTACAAATACTTAGGACAAAGATCATATAAATACTTGATGATAACAATACAAAAATGCTTAATAGTACAAATTAAAATGTAAAAATGATATAATATAAATGCTCCGAGTCTTATGAATGCGAAAGTTTACATTCTCAAGCCCTCACTCAAGGTCCAGAGATTGGTCATTGTAGAGGCAACTCTTGTTTATACAACTCTCATTAAAAACAATCAAGTACTGTTGATTCACTGGAAAAGACATGGAGACATGTCTGCTATTGAATATCCATTAGGCTTTACTGACCATGCTACCAAACATCTTCCATGTCTATTGCCCCCAAAACTTTTCAGTACCTTGCTAGTTATTTGGGTTTATCTAATTCAGTGAAGGTAGCAAAGCATTAATTACGAATTCAATGCTCGCTAGCAATCAACAATACAATTTCTAGTAGGACTGCCTTTGCAAATATGTGACACCTTCCAATGTTTGCTAGGATCCTCTCTACCCCTTTCCAACTGTTTGTTTGTAAACTTGAGTTGAATTTTGAAAACTCAAAATATGACACCAATATTGTCATAGAAAATCTACAATCTACCACCATTACACACCATAAGGTCCAACAGCACCAGTTACCAATTACCCCACTTATTCCCAAGTTTATGGATTCTTGCAAATATTAGAATTTAGTAATAGTCTATTACTAAATTCTAATATTACTAATAGTTATATTTAAATCCTGAACATGGTGTTTCACACCATTCCAATACATGACTATCATTTGTACTAAATTTTTTCCTTATGTTTTCACACCATTCCAATACATGACTATCATTTGTACTAAATTTTTTCCTTATGTTGCATTTGAATTTTCAGCAACATAATTATTTGGAATCATTTTTTCATGTTCTACTAACAAAATAAATATGTTGTGATAGTTATCTCTTAAAGAATCCAACAATAACAAATTATATTTGTTAGAGAAAGAAATAGTCAACAAAATTAGTAAATTGAAAAATATACGGCAAACTATAAGAAATAAAAAAAAATAAAAAAATAAAAAATGAGAGAGAGAGAGAGAGAGAAACAACCAAATAAGAACAATACAACAACTTACCTGAACAGTGAGACCATTGTCCAGAAGAACTTTTTTATAACTGCAAATCCAAAGAATGAGGAGAAAACCCCCAATTAGACAAGTGTGTTGGAATGCGTAGTATTACATTTTTTTCCCCTGTACGGAGCAATTGTTTGAAAGAGGACATGTATTAATGTTTGTGTCTGCGGGTTTTGATCGTATTTTCAGCAGATGATCGTGTCAAATTCTTGAGAAACACATATATCAAACAAAGGCCAACTATGTCCCCAATGAGTTTAAAATAAAAGAGTATATATGAAACTTCTTTGATGGACGATTATAAATCGTGAAATTCTAAAGCATGAACTTCTTCTCACCATGTGATCCTCATTATTGTTGAGAAGTAAACTTCATTTAGATAATTAAATGTCTATACATACATGATACATGCATGAAGTGGTTCATGTTTATGTATGTAGTTAAATAATGTTCATGTATGTAGGAGAAGGGTCATGAGTCATTAATGTCTTGGTTCATGTTCTTAGCATACTATTTAATATCTATGTACTCTAGGGATTAAGTAGAGAAGTGAAAAAGAGTGAAATGAGAATTGAGATGTAATATGGTGTAATAACCCATGATTTAGTAAAACGAAAATTATGAAGTGCTCTCTTCCTATTCACTTTTCTCCCTCATTGTGATTTGAGGTGTCTATCTAACCCACCACCTATTTCCAACAATTATTGATGGACAAATCTGTTCAGAAACAGAGCTCTAATGCATAACTAAAGATTTATAGCATGATAAACTTACTGTGGAGTGGCTGCAATCCCCTTCATAGGAACCTGCGCTTCCACAACTTTGCATGTCACCCGTTCAGGGACCGATGCAGACATCGGTCTTTCATCATAAAGCTGCACGGTGACTGTCATGTTATCTGTTTATGATGAGTACAATATTTTAGTTTGCTAAAATGCAAGTATAGCAGCTGTAACCTTATTATAATCCAGAAGAAGGAATATACATAAACATCAATGGAAGTGCCAAAAGTAAAGAAATCACCAACCATCTACTGTTACGTTATAATAACTCATATATGGTTTACTACATATTTAACAATGTTTTGGCTCTCTCCCAATTTTAACAATGTAAATAGTAAATTCATTAAGCAATGGCATTAATATATACCTCCTCCTCCTCCTGTATCAAAAAGCTCAATAAAATCCAAAAATTGGCCAAGAGAGGGGTTAACAACGGGAGGTTCTATTTACACACACACATTCCTCTTTTTACACATCCTTCTTAATTCACAAACCAAAAAAAAAAAAAAATTTACTCATCACACACAATTTTGTTCCAATTATATCCCATACACACACTCCCATCCACACACCTTCTTCCACACCAGCAAGCAACGATCAAACCCTATCTCTCATCAATGGTGTTTAGAGAGAGAGAGAGAGAGCGGTCGCGGCGGGGACGTTCCTTCTCGGCCTCGCTCTTCTTGGCCTCCACCTCCTCGTCGCAGCGTTGGGGGAGGTGGTTGCGTTGCTGCTGCAACTGCCATTTGGGGCCGAAGCGAGGGCGAGAAGGTGGCTTGCTGTCGACAAGGCGGAAGGTGGCGTCGTCGTCGGCAGCGGCGCCACTGTTGAAGGAATCGTTGCCGGTGAAATCGAAGACGGAGTCGGAGGGATGGGTGGAGCTGCGGGGGTTGGTGGAGTTGCGGGTCCAGTCGACTAGGACTGCTCCGACTTCAAAGCCCACCATTAATGAGAGATAGAGAGAGACTGCAATAGATGAGAGGAAGAAGACGACGATGGTTCAGAGGGAAGATGAAGAGTGGTCACTAGAGAGATAGAGAAAGAGAGGGGTATTTTGGTAGTTTCATTTTAGGACAAAAATGTAATAAAAAAAAATTCATTGCGTGTAAAGAGGGTAAATGGTGTGTGCAAATAGAAGCTCCTGTTAACAACTCTCAATTATACAAAAAGGTTACAAAAAAACTCTTAAAACTATACAAAACTTTGTTAAATCAGTTGAATTTTGTAATATGACGACAAGGTCGAATATGGAGAGATAATAAAGACAGAAAAGAGAAGAGAAATAACACAAAGGTGTAACATGGTTCAGCCAATCTTGGCCTACGTCCACCTACACAAAGCCTTATGACTTACATCTTTCATTCACTCAACTTGATCATCTTAATTACATGGTACACCATTTATATATATATATATAGTAGGAGATACAGTCAAATCCCTTCAGTTAAGGGATTGAAATAAATCAACGATGCAAAAAATCATGATGAGCATAAATCATGGGATCTTCATATATTCTGATATCTTTAACAATATAATCTGATCTTTGACACTCCCCATCAAGTTGGAACACGGAACGGTTTTAGTGAAGTATCCAACTTGAACTCAAAAGTAGGATGATCATTACAAACAACCATAATGAAATAGCCAAAAAAGGAAAACAATTGTAATCACTGCCCTCGCTTCAATGACAACTTGGGAGAACATAAGAAATGAATCAAAATCGGGATTTTTTTTTTTCCTTCTTTTTTTTTTTTTTTTTTACAAAACTTGAAAACAAGGGGAGGACAAGTCCTCATAAAATGACTAAAGATCAAAGCAGTAATCTAAATCCAAATAGTAAAAACAAGAAAACAAAATAGAAAACAGTCCATCACTAAGGATGACAAATAGCAGCCCAAGTTGAAGTTTGTAATAAGGCAATATGGTTGAATATAAAGAGAGAATAAAGATAGAAAAGAGAAAAGTAGGAATACAAAGGTTTAACATGGTTCAGCCAATATTGATCTACATCCACACACACAAAGCCCTAAAGAGTTACATCTTTCATTCACTCAACTTGATACTCTAGTTTGTATGATACACCATCTATATAGAGTGAGAGATACTATCAAATCCTTTCAGTTAAGGAATTGAAATAAATCAAAGATACAAAAATCATAATAAGCATAAATCATGGGATCTCCATATAAGCTAATATCTTCCATATCTTCTGATATCTTTGGCAATATAATCTTATTTCCAACACTCCCCCTCTAGTTGGAACACGTAACGGTTGAAGTTAAGTATCCAACAACTACAATGAAGTTGCCAAAAGACAACAACAATTATAATAATTCCCTTCAATGACAACTTCAATGAACATAGCAAGGAATCAATATCTTGTAATAGAGAAACGTGCACTGAATCAATCATGATGCAATAAGATAAACCAACCAAGAGAGAGAAATCAACAAGACCGAAGCAATGGCAAATCACCACAAACATAAAGACCGAAAAACGGCATCCCACAAAGAATGCTACCGAACACACCAGTAGCCTAAAAATAAAAAAGAAACAAATACGTGCTTATCACATTAGCACAGGGACCCTAAAAGGGTAGAGAAGCCGGAAAACTTAGCATATCACAAAATAATGCTACCGAATCCACGGAAGCCCCGAAACAAGTAAAAATCATAAAGTTTGCTTACCACATCAGCAAACTAGAGGTCAACTCAAGGAAGAGGGAAAAACATCTTGATAAAAAAAAATGTGAAATGAGAGAGTTCTCCATACAGAAACATTCCTAGGGTTCAGTAGGCTCTGATACCAAGTTAAATTTTGTAACAAGGCAATAAGGTTGAATATAGAAAAGTAAGAACACAGATTTAACGTGGTTTGGCCAATATTGTCCTACATCCACATACACAAGGCCCTAAAGCGCTACATCTTTTATTCATTCAACTTGATACTCTTGTTTACATGATACGCCATATATATAAAGTAGGAGATACAATCAAATCCTTTCAGCTAAGGAATTGAAATAAATCAAAGATAAAAAAAAAAAATCATAATAAGCATAAATTATGGAATCTCCATATATTATAATATCTTTCATATCTTCTGATATCTTTGACAATATAATCTTATCTCCAATAGCCCAATCCCTAGAAATCAAAAACAAAGGAATTCCTTCGAAAAGGGACAACACACAAGCCTAAACTGAAGCCAAATGCCTCACTTTATCCCACATAGCTTCCACTTCTGAATCCTTGTCATTAAAAATCCTTGCATTTCTCTCTAGCCAAATGGTCCAAAAAATAGCAAAGACAATGCAAGACCACAATGTTTTGGCCTTCCTATTACCTCCAAACCCGTCATAAAAAACTAACAGCATATGCGTGCACATCCGCGAAGCAACTCACTAAACATCACAGAGACCAAAGAGACGCTGCCATAAAACAAGTGCCACCAGGCAATGAAGAAATAAGTGATCAACTGATTCCTCCTCCCCTTTACACATTATGTACCATTGAGGACAGAGAGTAGGCCTTCTTCTTTGGAGAAGATCATTGGTCATACGAAAAGGGACAACACACAAGCCTAAACTGAAGCCAAATGCCTCACTTTATCCCACATAGCTTCCACTTCTGAATCCTTGTCATTAAAAATCCTTGCATTTCTCTCTAGCCAAATGGTCCAAAAAATAGCAAAGACAATGCAAGACCACAATGTTTTGGCCTTCCTATTACCTCCAAACCCGCCATAAAAAACTAACAGCATATGCGTGCACATCTGCGAAGCAACTCACTAAACATCACAGAGACCAAAGAGACGCTGCCATAAAATAAGTGCCACCAGGCAATGAAGAAATAAGTGATCAAGTGATTCCTCCTCCCCTCTACACATTACGTACCATTGAGGACAGAGATTAGGCCTTCTTCTTTGGAGAAGATCATTGGTCATAATGCTTCCATGAGCTAAAGACCACATGAAAAACTTCAATTTATGAGGAATAACTGCTTTCCAAATTTTTTATAAAGTGGAAACAAAGTAGTGGAAGGTACATCAATAATCATATCAAACAAAGATTTACATGAGAAAACCCCCGAAGAAATGGTGTTCCATACCCTCTTGTTTCTATAGAGAGGAACCAAAGAAACTCCATCAAGCAATGACAGTAAAGAAGCCAACTCAAGAGACTCCCTATCGGTTAGGTTCCTAAGAAAATTGAAATTCCATGATTTTGGTGACATGGTAGAACATGCCACTGACGCAATAGAAACATTCTGAGATCGGGCCAATCTATAAAGAAGTGGAAAGACTATCAAAAGAGGAATCCCCCACCCACGTATCATCCCAAAATCATACACTTCCCCATTACCCACTTTTAAAGAAAAGAATGTAGACACAAGTGGGAGCAAATGAGAAATGGACTTCCATTGTGATCGACAACTAGCTCTACTAACCACAATAGAGTACCATTGGCTTGAACACCATACTTGCTCTCAATTATGGAGTGCCATAGCGATTCACTTTCGGTTGGAAATCTCCATAACCACTTGCTCAAGAGAGTAATGTTCCTTGCAACAATATTCCCAATGGCAAGGCTCCCTTTATTTCTAGGAAGAGCAACAACCTCTCACTTAACTAAGTGAATCCTAAACCCCTCTTTAAATCCTTCCCAAAGAAAGTCCCTCATTAATGTCTCAATTTTCTTAGCAATCCTAACCGAAATCTTGAACATAGACAAAAAATAGATAGGAATACAACTCAACACAAATTGTACCAAACATCTCTACCCCTCTAGATAACAAGGCCTTCTTCCATCCCTCCAATCTTTTTCCCAACCTTATCAAGGACAGGATTCCAAAAAGCCTTTGACCTATGATCTCCCCCCAATGGTTACCCCAAATATTTCGTAAGAAAATTTTCAATTGAACATCCCAAAATTGCCGCCATCTATTGCACAAAGCTAGGCTCCAGATTAATGCCTACGACACTACTCTTAGTAAGATTGACTTTGAGACCAGAAACAACTTCAAAAATACTCAGAAGCGCGAGAAGATTTCTCACCTTGCTTTAATTGATGAAAAAAATAGTGTCATCCTTAAACTCTAGATGAGTGACACAAATTTTA